GGGCTCCGGCCAGGGGGAGAGGGGCTGCGGGGTCCCCCGTCACCCCGCTCCGCCAGCAGGTACTCGATGGTGAAGGAGGCCCCGGGTGGGCGCCGGCCCCCGGGCCCCGTGTCCCCCATGGTCCCCGAGCCGTCGCCAGCCGGAGGGGAGACCTCCTGGCCCGGCCCGGTAATTAGTGCAGATTACAGGGTTTGCTAATTGTGTTTTCACAAACGGGCTGCCTTCGCAAAGCAGGCTGTTTATCTGGCAAAGCCCCGGGTTTAGCGGGATTTGGACCTTTAAGCCTCATAAATAAAATGATTAATCCGCTGGAGGTGGAGGAATTCGAAGTGGCACCGAGGTGCCTGCGGGGACGGGGCCCTCGCGCCCACCTCGCTCTTGGGTCCGGCTGCCCCCCAATTCCTGGGGGGGACCCTCCTGCCCCAAGCACAGACACCCCCTCAACCTCCCCGGGCTCCTTTCGGGGTGAGCTCCCCGGAGCTCCTGGGGACCCTGGGGAGAAATCCCAACAAGCCGACACCGAATTAAATGTAAATCTTTCTTTTTATTTAACAAACACTATAATTTGAACTTTGAAGAATGTGTACTGAGGGAAAGAAAAATAATTTTCTTTTTGTTTTTTCTCTTCTCTTTACAAAAAAAGAAAAAAACAGGATATAAGAAAAAACATATGTACAGGAAGAGCTGGCCAACTCAAACAGAAAGCAGTAACAGAAGCATGATGTTTCCAAACAGTGGCTTGGCCTGGAAAATTTAAAAGCAATTAAATTAGAATACAAATATTAGAAAAAACTGGACTCTAAAGCTACTGTGCAGCCAGGGATGCGAGCCACAGAACTTTATACAGTAAAACTTAATTTTTGAGCTCTACCCAGGTTTTCTTTTGTTTTAATCCCCCTTCCCACCCCCGCCCCCTTTTAAACCTGAAAACATATTGCTTACACGCAAACAGAAGAAAAAAAAGAGAAGAAAAAGAAAAGCTTATGTCATACAAATAAGAGTTTCTCTGTGGGAGCAAGACTGGAAACAGCGGAAGAGCAAGCGAGATGCAGCTGCCTCCCTGCCTGCTGCCCACTCCCCCCTGCCCACGGCTGCCGGCCGGGACACCCTCGCAAGATGCCTGGGGAGAAAGCATGGGGTTTGTTGGTTTTTTTTTTCGTTTTTGTTTTTTTTTTTTTACCCCCCCCCCCACTTCGCCTTCAAGTTTTCATTTGCTAAGACAAAACAGAGATGGGCAGGAAGGGCTGGGAGCAACGGATGCTCCCTCTGCCAGCGTCTGCAGTCGGATGCGGAGCCGGGTGCCCTCCCGTGCTGGGCAGGGGATTCGGGGATCCTACACCACACACGGGAGAGACTGGGGAGAATTTGGAGAGGAAAACTCCAAATATGCCAGGTCGAAGCTTCCTGCTCAACAGCATTTAGAGGGTAATTCTTTGCTTTTGGGCAAGTCACTAACAAGGATTTAAAACAGTTCTGGGTGGACCTTGGTGGCTTTTCTGTTGACATGAGATCAGCCGTGCTTCGCTTTTTCCTCAAACGCACGACAAGCGCTTTGGAAAGCGCCGTGGCTTTGGTTCTGCCGTTTCGCTGCCGTTGCCCCCCTTCCCCCCCCCCCAAAAAACCCACCCCGACTGTGGGGAGGCGAGGGCAGAAGGGAGGCAGAAGGGTTTGGGGTGCCAGCAGGGCCATCCCTGCACTGGGCTCTGGCAGCACCCAGTGGCACCGAGCACCCCTTGCCCAGAGCTCGGGGGTCTCGGTACAGCGCAGCCGGACACTGCTCAGGGGGCCCTGGCTGTGGCAATCCCCCTCCTGTTGGGCTTGGGGACATTGCTCCTGCTTGCTGCCCATCGTGTGGGCATGGCAAGGGGCAGAGGCACAGGCCAGCTTCCTTCCAACGTTTATTCTCATCTACGGACGAGAAAAGTCAGCGAGGTCCAAAGCAAAACAGAGTTCAGAGGCGTTAGTGGGAACAGCAGAGCTGCTTACGCAAAGTTAATTACAAAAATTCTCTAAGACAAAGTCAAAAAGGTTACCATTTGGAAACTCAAAAGCAACAACATTTTGCCATCAAGAGCATAGCAGTAGCTTTGGGTCTGGGACCAAAGTCTTGAACAGAGAAGTGGAAAAGTCCAGAGGCTGTTAACACGTGGTCGCAGGGCTCCACGCATCGTCCCTCGGCTCTGTCCTCAACACCCTGCCAACAGTGCCGCCAGCAGCGCCGGTGCCGGGCCGCACACTGGTTCGTGACTGAAAGAAACCTGAATTGGAGTTTACCGAGGTAGTTGGCTAGAAACTGAGATTCCCCCACCTGGCATTTTCTCGAAGGCCCAAGCATCCCTCGCCCCCCACCCCGCTCCTCCTCACGTGCCAGGTGTCCAGCTGTCCTGCAGGTCACTGCCACCGCCTCCAGAAACAAAGCCTTCTCAAAGAAAAGGGAATGCGCAGCCCTTTTAAGTCTTCAAAAACACCAAGTTATTGCACTTCAAAAATACAACAGATTTGTGGTTCGAGCCCTCCCCACCCTCCCCATGGCTTCTGCTCAACTAAAACAATTCACTACGCACAATTTCTACATTACCTTCGGATTAGGTTAAAAGATTCAAAACGTGTCTCTTTACATGAGGTGCAGAGCTGCTGGAGCTCCTATCTAGAACAGTGCGATTCCAATCGTACATCTCTTCCCTTTCACCCCGTGCCCCCCATCCCCACCCCTAAAAATCCCCTCTATGCTTGCTGGGTTATACAAACCTCCCTCCCCCCCCCACCCATCTCCTGTCCCTCCCCCCACTCCCCCCCCTCCCCACCCCGGACTCACACGTCCAGCAAAAACTTTTAGATTAATTAAGGAATGGTTATTTAACAAGACAATAAAAATGCACACAGCTTTGGAGATGCACGGGAGTTAGATGTCCTGTAGATCTGCAGATGAACTCCACCGATTCAAACCGTCCTGGTGAAGGGCAGCAGAGACCAGCGAGCTGTGGATTCTGACTGCCTGGCTTAAGACACTTTCCTTACTTCAGGCTCCAGTTCAGGGTCAGGCTTTGAGTGGGGTCGTCTTCCAACCAAGAAGCAGCTCAATGGTTTGTTTTTCTTTTGTGGTGGTTTTTTTTTTTTCTCTTTTTTTCTTTTTCTCTTGTTTTAATGATTAATTTGGAATAGGAAAGTCAAAGGAGATCAGGGAGGAAGGGAGATGAGGTGGGAGAAGACAGTCTCCCCCTCCTCCAGTTTAATAAGCACCAGAGTATTCAAGTCTGTCCATTCTGAGATTCAGAGCTGCTTCCGCAGTCAGCAGGCAGAAACTAAACCTTTCTCATAAGAGCAGCGTCGTTTTGGTTGTGGTCCCTCATCATCGTCATCATCCTCCTCATCTTCTTCCTCCTCTTCCTCCGATGATGAGCTGTCCAGTGTTAAATCCACAACGTCAGCAGTGGCCTTGCCATTCTCACCGTTACCGTTAGGAGTGGGCAACAGCCCGTTCACATCTGAAGAACCTGAAAGGAGTGGGGAAAGAGAACTAATTAAGACATTTCATGCCCAGTTTAGGGACGCTCCGATACTCTTGGTCTCTCATGGCTGTGTGGTACTTGGAACAGAATAGTTCAGTCGGAAGGGACCTACAATGATCATCTAGGCCAACTGCCTGACTGCTTCAGGGCTGACCAAAAGTTAAAGCATGTTCTTAAGGGCATTATCCAAATGCCTCTTAAACACTGACAGGCTTGGGGCATCGACCACCTGTTGAGGAAGGCTGCTCCAGTGTTTTGACACCCTCTTGGTAAAGAAATGCTTCCTGATGTCAAGTCTACAAGGCAAAGGAGTGCATGAAACAAACTCCGTTCAAGCAGCTGCCTAAAAACTGAGCCGATGCCACAAACCTGATGCTCTCTCTGGGGTCAGAACTTGCTACAGTGCCCAACGGCACCTGCCTGAGAACCGGGAACTGGCTCGGCCAAAGCCAGAAGCTACGCAACAACACTGCCAACCCCGTCCATAGACGTCACCATTGCGAGAGGACCTGGCCTTGTGCGGGCTGCCCAACAGACAGCCCTTCCAGTCAAAATCCTCTTTTCCCACAAAAGTAGTACAGTGCTGTTCCAGGCTGGTCTTATCGATGACATTTCAGGGGTTGTTGCAGAAGTGAATGTACCGACAAACTTGTTCGATGCCATTCTGGCAACAACCCAGCTTTGCGGAATAACCCCATTTGGCCTGGGCCCTCTTCCGCAGGGATGCGATGCACCCTGGCGATGGTGTTCATTTCTGGAGAGGCTGAAAATTAAGGGCCTATCCAGAGGAAGCCCTCTGAGAGCCAAACTCACGTTACGGTATCACAGCTTTTCCCAAGGCAGCTGGGGAACTCTAATTTTGCAATTTGTGCACATTTCCTACAGTAATTTGAAGTCTTTAGCCCCAGAGATACTCACCTAGAACTAATATTGGACACTGAGGGCTGCAGCTCCGCTCTTTCTCAGCTCTGATGGGACACCAGGAGCCATCCACCAGGTATTCTATTTCATCTGCATCTTCACATTCTGTCAGGATCTTTGACAGGAGCCTGGGCAGGAGAAAAGATGCCATCTATTAAGCTCAAGGCAATCAGTGAATGCATTTAGTGATGGGCCATCAACCTGGATCTTCACCTTAAACAGCCCTAAATTTAAAAGAAATTTGGTGTTAGCAGAAGGCTGCCAAACAGATAGCCCTTTCAGTCAAGGGCTTGTTTTATTTTCCATAAAACAAGTACAGGTTCTGACATTGCAAGCCATCCCCGTCCTTTCTGACAACGTACCTAAACCATGAACTAACATTTTAATTATGTGCAATTAGAAGACAGTCTTGTCTCTTCACCCAGTTTCCCAGGTCTGTGGTGCTGCTTCCAGACAAACATCTGATGCCCCATCTAGAGCTACATCAGGGCTGGTGCAGGTACACATTCACACCAAGGCGTCAGCAAAAGACAAAATATCCTATGACATTAAGAAATAAGCAATCCAACAAGCAGCACTTCATTTCCTTCCTAGTTCTGTTTCTCAAAGCCTCCATAGCAGCCACCAAAACAATATATGCAGCCTCCTGCAACAGAAAAAAACCCCGATGTTCAACCACTGAAAATAGACCCAGTGTAGATACCTCAATGTCGGCCATCTCTCATTGCAGAGACACTAACCAGAACAAGACCCTGGTTCTGGCTCACTGTGCCTCAGAAACTGGGGACTTGCTTTATTCTGCTATGTCCTGCCATTTGCCTGGGATGTTTATTTGGACACGCTATTGGAACCACTGTTCTGCAAGGCCTTATTGACTTCTGGATTTGAGCATTTCCTTTCAGTATAAAGGAGAACTAATAACAAAGATCTTACAAGCTCAAGATAACTATTCATGGCACAGTAGTGGGAGAAAGTTTCTGCTTTCTCCCAGCTGAAGTAGGAAAGGCGTTTCCACAGACGGTCCTGTCATCCAGCAGAACAACCACCAAGGCTGCAATTCCAAAAAAGCTGGCAGGGCCCAGAGGATCTTAGACTTGACCAACCAACTACCTCCTCAGGTGCCTACGCCCCTTTTTTGACTAGCAACATCCAGCTGTGACTGCCAGGTTCCCTCCAGCTTACTTTCAAGGGAGGTCTGAAGACTACCTTCATCCAACAGAACTGGCACTGAAACCCAGTCTTGAGCACTGCAGAGCAGGGACAAAGAAATCTGCTGAGCCTTCACCAGTGATGACGACCTCCTCCTCCTCATCCAGGAGGAACACGTGCAGTGCTGACCTGTGGAGGTTCCACAATCCAACCCCTCGTACCTTCCCCTTCAGTCTCAGCAGCCTTGTTAGAGATCCCAAAGGAACTGGATTTTCCTGTCAGTGTTGGCCAGAGGACAAAGCAAACAGGTTATCTATGCCTAGGCTGCTTCAGACAGTCTAAAAAGCCACAAATCCTGGATCAAATCAGTACCTATAAAGGCAGCAATGCTCAGAATATTATCAGCCTGGCCCTGGGAATATACCACCCAGGCAGAGACTCGTCTGCTCACTTCACTGCCTTGTGTGCCAAGGGAGCTGGATGCACCTAAACAATTTCTCTAAACTCTTCCTCCTTTTGAGGGAACCTGCATTAGAGGCCAATTATACGAGCCATGAGGGTGGAGATAATTTTCCAGAAGCCAACAACCATGCATCTTGCTCCACCAGTCCTCAGGGTTGCTCTCAGCTTGGCTAGCACCACTAAAGATGTCAGTGGTCCCAGCCCATAAAACAGGCCCCCTGCATTTTGAGGCAACAAAGCTTCTTCTGGGGCGGGGGGGTGGGGGTGGGGTGGAGATTACTGTTGGCATTAATTCACTCCTTGTTTCTTCCTTTACTCTTGGACAAAAGCCAGGCAATTTATTGTGCTCTCCTCTAGAGATAGCCTCTGGAACCCATATTTTGGGAGCTGACAAGCATCGTCGCCAGCTTTCTGGCTTGCCTCAGGTGGCCCCCGCTGTCAGCCTAGCTCGTTCTGCAGTTTGCATATAGGACTCCGTCTGCCAGGTCTGCAACAAGGAAAGGGAGATCTCCTGTATTTTAGAGTAATCCTCTTGGCACACAGCTGCGTTTTCAAGCTTTCCAGTACCAAACCTCACTCAGACATATGAGCATCACCTCCAAAGTGTTCTTGTACTGCTGAACTGTAGCACTCCAGCTCTCCTAGCTTATGGTGAGCCCTCTGCTCTTCTCTTTGGTAAAAAGACAGAGCAAGCTAACTCTAGTCCAGAGATACGGGAAACACCATTCCCATATGGACTGAAAACCAGATGACAAGTTGAGCGCCGAGTCTAAAGCAACCTTTCCCCAATTCACGGCTGGAGAACTCTTGGCAGGGCTTGGGGCATGCATTTTTTGCCTCACCATTTTCCAAATGCTGTTGGAACTTTGCTTTAATTCCCTCCTGTGCTTTTACAGTACTACTACAGCTATGCCACATTCAAAATAAGACAGTAGAAAGAAAACATCCCTCATGCAGAAGAGACAGGGGCTGCTTTACTGGGAATACCAAGAATGGGGATGCTGGCATGGTTCTGTCCTTCTAGCCCACTACAGGGCAGGCAGCAGTCCCAGGACAGCAGCCAGACCCAAATGCATGGCTGGAGCAAAACTCTGCAGTCTGCCCTTCACAAATCCACTCTAAAAGTGCTGTACCAAAAGCTGGTTCCCTCCCAACATATACTCCATTTGCCTGACAAGTGCACTGGTGTCCCCTTGCACACCAAGGGGGCTGGTGACCCCCAGCAGGGAGCCCCTGGGGACCCCTGAGCATCCCAAGGTCCTGCTGCACAGGCTCAGCCTGGTAGCAGGGATCAACCACCACTGGGTGTCCCCAGGGGAACCAGGGTGGGAGGCCCAGGGAACCCCAGGTGGATCCACAAAACATCCAGCCTGGACAATATATCCAAAGCATTTTAATTCTGTCCCTCCAGTGCATCTGAACCTGCTGCTTTTTTCCCCCTATAGGCATGCAAAACACAAATAGTCTCTACTGAGGTATCCCTTCCCTTTCCAAATACTACATTTGTAGCTGTCTCAGGGGCTATATGTTGCACAATGTTTGGTTTAAGAGCTGGCAGAGAAGATCCCCCAATCACATTTACAGTATGCCAAGAACTGCTTGTGAGCTGATGAGCACCTCATACCAACAACAAAACAAGATGCTTCCTATCAAAAACCACCTTATCGGGTGCTTATAAAGTGGTTTATTCCACGCAGCATGGTATCAGTCAACCAAGGCAGCTAGTTGTGCAGGTTCATCAGCCTGATGAAAAGAGTGAGGCAGTAAAAGCTTGATTCTCAAAACGCTTCAGTGTAATCCAAAAATTAAGAATGGCAGACAAACAGTCAAGTCTTGCTCTAACACACCAAGACAATTAAGTCAGAATATTATGCACCAGCAGAATAAGCTTCCAACTTTGTTTTGAGGTGAACTTCAATCAGACGCACAGACCAAAAGACAAGATGCCACACTCAGCAGAGAAAAGAAAGGGGTTGAGGACAGAGAAGTGTAGGTACTCACCCATCAATTATGAGCTGGTCATAGGGTGCTGGTTTGTCACACACAGGGCACATCCATGTGGGCTTTTTCTCATTCATCTGTAGGTAGAAGACTGCATCAAAGCACTGCAGATGTGCACAGGTCTCCGCCCGGCACGGGACAGACAGCCGCATCTTCACTAGCTGTTGAACCAAAAAGCAGATGATCAGCAATAAAACCCACCCAAGCCATCACCAGACAGTTCTCCTCCTAAGCAAAAACGTTCGTTAGTTTGCAAAGGTGGTCTGACAGTAGAATAGGGTTTCTTGACAAAAACAGACTAAAATATATTGCAAAGGCTTACCGGACAGATAAGAGAGACGCGAACACCTGTAGTGGCAATTTCACTGTCTGGATCCAAGCGTAGCTTCTCTTTTACTGCAGTAAGAGTAGAGAGCACAAAATTTAACAGATGCAAACTTAAACCTTGGAAACAGCGTGTAGCACAGGTCAAGCAGCTCACCAACAGCCCTTGGCTGTATACGAGTCATTTTCCCCACAGATGACAACCTCTGCCAGTCAGGGACAGAGCACATAGGAGACAGAAAGCTGTGGTATTGGACCAGGCTTGCGCAACCTGCAGAACTCAGTAGAGACGCTGCTTGGCTAGCCGAAAACCTTGCGCATGATGAGGCAGTTCATGGCCTACAGGCCAGCTGAAGTATTTATTGGCTGAGGAAGCTCACTTTTTTTTACAAATCCCCCTTCCCAATGACCCAGGTCTCCCAGCCAAACAGCACAGGCTGCCTCTCCTCCAGGAAGACCAAATGAAGGAGCTGGGATGGACTTAGGTGTTGGGATGAGGGCAACTGTCTGCACGTTATCTGCTAGCTACGCTGTTAATGCTCTCTTAGCGACCCTTCCACCTCTTATTTACAAACTACAGGCTGGGCAGCTGGGGTACATGGAGGAAATGACACTGCTGACCAGCTTTTTCATGTTAATATTATACCAAGGCAGCCAAGTGGGAGTTAACTTTGTCCCACTTCAGAGAGGACTAAGACACCCACATACCTGGACTTCCTGCAGCGGGGGAAAGAGTGGATGGACAGAGCTCTAGCACATGGCAAGACTTCTGGAACGAAGTCAGTTTAGGCTTATCTGGTCATTAGCATAAGCACGATGGATTTTATTCCCTTCCAAGATCAGTGGCAATAGGACAGGGTTAACTGCCTCCCCCTGCCCCTTGAAATTCAGAGAAAGTCCCCCCAGAAGTGAGCAAACATGGGATACAGTCAAATTGACAGGAAACCACATCTCATCATTTCCCCATCAAATAAACAAGCCTCCTCTTAGTGCTACTGGGCTGTAACTCTTCATCTTATATGCCAGCCAGCTCATTTATTCCAGCAGCCCGTTTCACAGGAACCACAAACAGACCCAGAGGTACCAGGGCAGACAGCTCAAAGAGCAAGGCAGCCATGCAAAAACAGTCACAAGCAGCGATACAGCACATATTTGGAAAGAATCAGGCATTAGGAAAGGAGGTAGAGAATCCTGCCACCACTGCTGCATCCTGAAAGGAAAACCCAGAGGAACTGCAGGCAAATAAAAAAGAGCAGCAGACATGCAGGTCCTGCACATGCAGGTCCCGCATCAAGGTGCAGAATCAACACACAAAATTAGCTTTAAACTACGACACAGCTCCTAAAGAGTAGCTGCTGCTAATGCTGCTGTCTGAAAAGGCCTTTGACACTTCCATCACCATTTTTATTTGGAGCAAGTCAACCATTTATTTTGACCTTTTCAGATCATAACAAGATGTCTCCAGACAATGAGGCTACATGCAGTTTTGCAACACACAGCTCTAATTAGAGAGTGACTTCTCAGATGTGAAATTCCCACGAGATTACAAGATTTGGTGCTGTTTTCTTCACATTAGGAGACTTTTCATCCAAGCTTAATTTTTTGTAAAGTTCTTTGTAAGACCATTCTCTGTGCATCAATTACTATGATACATGGGAAGGAGAAATGGGCATTTTCTAGGACCTCCTGATTAGAATCAAGCTGTCTTAAGACTACTTTTGGATCCACAGCCATGTATCTAAGCATCTCGGTTTCCAGACAATGTTCCTATACTAAAGTCAACAGAAGCATAAGCAAAGGAAGATGAGTCAGCCCCGAGATGCAACTGAAGTCAAAGGGTAGCTTTAGTGAGTACTGAGGGATATTGCAATGAACATGATACAGAATTATTTGCAGAACAGACCAGAGCTACAAAAGCAAAGTTTACAAGCTACTTGTGCTTGCCAGTTTCAGACGTCCAAACAGCTTCCAAGCAGTAACAAGCCAAAGGAACTGAAAGAAGACAACGTTCCTATTTGCTTAAATTTAAGGTCACAAAATGCAACTCATCCCTGCCCCGAAGTCCAGCCAAAGCTGTTAGTTATCTAACTCAGTAGAACTGGAGGCACACACTTGTTACTGAGTAGAAATGGCAAGAAACCTGCTTTCAGAACCTCTGCCTGTCACTCTCAGATTGAGAGTCCATCCTGCAAGTGCTTGCTTGAAAGGGAACAGCACATACTGCTGAGCTGGGTTTCAAGAAGTGCCAGAGAAGAATGTGAGGATCCTCCGCAGTTTAGGGCAACTCAAAAGCCAGCTTCTGCTCAATCTATTTAAGGTTCTGGTGAACTGCAAAAAAGGGAGCACAGCCAGTGCCTTGGGCTTCTGAGAGTGGTGGATGTCTAACAAATAGGAACTTCCATTTCTTATGTCAATACATAAGTGCTGGCTGTCAAAGCGGTCTAATCTGATCAAGACTGCCATGGACACTATTTGGTGTGGCACACAGATACTGAAGTGTTCAGCATCTGCTGCAGAAATGCTGCACTTAACATGAAGATCAGAAGTTTGGCTGAAGCAGCAGTGTGTCCCACAATGTGCTTTAGGCATCTGAAGACTGGACATGCCCGAAATCATCATCTCCTCTGTGAACTGCCATCTATCTTCAAGATTATGTTTCTTATACTCAGTAAGAGTTGTCCATGATCTGAATAGTATGTTTTAAAAACCATCACGATCCACGGTGTTAGTTCTCCCATGCAAAATAAACAGCAAGACTGCTCTCCCCAATAACATTAAATAACTGGAAATCCTCCAGACTCTCGTGAGCTGCAAGTCAGATTCTGCCTTGGAAAGGTAACTTCCCCTCATTTTCAGTAATGTTTTGCATTTGCCTCATACCACGATGATTTACCTGAGTGGTCTAGGATAAGCATCTCTCGGGATCATCTCTTCTCTGAAGCTCTCAACGCATATGAAAGTGCTGGTGGTGAAATCCCACTGCCAGCCCCTAGGATTCACGGGGGGTTAGGGCAGCAGGACATTTTCACCAGGATCCCTTGCTCCAGAAATCTCCTTTGGAAATAGTGCGGGTCAAGGCCGAGGTGCTGTGGTAATGTTCGTCAGCTCATAATTACTCAGGTGAAGGCATGAAGCCATTCGCGTCAGAACGACACTGGCCCTCAGCGGCACTCACCACGATACGACCTGGGGACAAATTCTAAATCCAACTAAAGTGATGCAGAGCTTCTGCAGAGCCATGAGAAACGCACACTGCAGAAGTGCTGCACTTGCACACAGATTTGGGGCAATTTCACACGACTGACATACAGCTTAGCAAGTCCGTTCAATTAAAAAGTGTTTTTATATAACTGGAGGAAAGAAATTGTATAAAACTTGGCAGCTGTTTCCAAGCACGTTTCTAGTAGCCTGGCTATTAGGAATGCTGCAGTCTGACAGGCATACAGCAGACCTCCCCGAGCCACCGCATAAGCAGACATACTCACCAAGTGCTTTGCAGAGTTCTGGATGTTTGATCCCAATGGTTTTCAACCTCTGCAGCAGCTCTGCTGAGGTCATCTGCCGCACTAAGTACAGCCCCACGGAATAGCTCTAATGAGAGAAGGAAGGGACAGAATGAGCAAGGCTGCTCTTTTGCACTCGTTTGTGCAGTTCTGTCCAATTTCCTTTGGCACGTACCTTCCCGTAATTCCCCCAGGTAACGGTGATGCGATTGGTCGCTGCAGACAAGTACATGAGATGGGTGAGGTTGATGGGACGACAGGGCCTTTTAGGTTCCACTCCAGGTTTGTTTGATGGATAGTAGCCCTAAGGCAGAAAGAGTATATATATTTTTTTTTTTTTACTCAAGATGCTTCTACATGGGTACATCTATCCATCAGCTTCGCTAAATTCTACTCACCCACAGTTTTCAAGGAGGGGGGTAGAAGGTAGCTGAACAGTCAGACCAAGCACAAAGTAAAAAGGATCAAGCCTTTTTGCAAGAACAGTTTATTAACAATATAGCTAATTCATTAGAAAATTAGCTTTAAACTAAGCAGTGCACTTTTATACTCTGGCTTCTTGTCTGCATTCATCACAAAACCAATTTCATTCTAAATCACACAAATCCTTCCAAAGTTGCAACGTCACACCTCCTGGCCGAGCTGACTTACCGGCACTGAGCAGTAACTATGATTCACTTTCACTGCAATGTTCGGAGGGTACTGATCCTCCTGAGGAGAACTAGTGTCTGTGTAACAGATTCTGTAAAGAAACAACATGTCTCTCAATATCCCTGTGCTGTTTGCATGTTCAAAGCTCTCTGCACATCAATAGCTACCAGCAGCCAACCATCACCACACCAACCCATGCTCCCTCATCTGGCCAAAGCAAAGCCAATTCCACTCAGCTCTCCCAGATTGGATGCAGGCTCGATACCTGGGCAGCAAAATCTGACATGCTGCTGTTTTCTACTGCAGCGCTAACTCAAGCAGTACACATAGGAAGAGGTCAGAAAGTAGAGTTTAAGATGCTTGCGTTAGGTAGCGGTGAACAACCAACTTTGACTCAAAGTTATCTTTGTAGCCATGAAAACCACACTGAAAGTTAATATATTTTGGTAGTGCATTCCCTCCTCCCCTGTTGTGCACCTGATGTTAAATCAACCCCATGCTCAGACATACCTTAGCACAACCTGAACTGATTTCACACCGGGTTGCAACTCCCTAGTAAATTAAAGAAGAAACAGAAACTTCAGATTAATTATGTAAAAACACTAAAAACAAAAAACACCACCACAAAAAAAAAACAAACCCCAAAACCCACAACAACCAAAAATCAGCTGTGACTTTTGCCAGACTCGGGAATTTTAGTTCTTTTTTTTTAATAGACCTTTAAAGAATTACTTTACAGAATTTTATTTAATTGTACAATTCCCCCTGCAAATATCAGTGGTCCTGTTTTCCTAATGCACCATCCTATAGCCTTTCTCTGGGTTTTCAAAACTGTAAGGTGTTGGGTGAAAGATATCAATTTGCCTGGCATCCTTTTGCTGATTTGTAAGCATTCACAAAAACTAGGTTTTAAGGTCAGGTCTACCTGACAGCATTCTTTCAAGACTCTCTTTGTTCAATTATTCAGCTAAAGCTGTTCATGCAAACCAAGGAACCACGTATTATGGCACCAGCAGAACAACTGTTAATATTGCTAACTTCAGGAGTGCTATTCGTAACAGGATTTCAGCTGCTATCAGGAAAGCAACATATCCCAGAACAAGGGCATTTTATTAGTAGTCTTTATACACAGGTACAAAACATACTCTAATTTATGCATTAGATAAGATCCCCAAATTAGTCTTGGTTTGCCTCTGAAAGCGTTTTGCATTCCAATTCAGTGTTTTAGTATAACTGTTTTGATTTTGGGGGTCGAAGGGATGGACCCTCAGTTCAACTGACAGACAAGAGCTGATACGGTAGTTTTAGATCTGCGGGAGACACATCTGGATACCACCCACAAGCAGTGGAAGATGACGGACCTGTGCTGAGTGATCATTCGAGACTCTCACTGAACCCCCGCTATGAAATATTTCAGCTGTGTTACTGATACTGAATCTCTTCTCACAAATCTGAATACACGGAGAAAAGACCACCAAGAATCAGCTACAATGTGTGTAGTCTTTTATCACCCTTAAAGACTTCCGTGGTATATCATTTCCTTTCTGTTAAGTCTTCAAACAGCTTCCCCTGTACTGCTTCTGTTGACCTACTGGGATCACAACAGTAATCAAGCACTGGATATTCAAGAAACATCATCTTTCTTCAACTCTATGATAACAGTATGATTTTACCATACAGAGAAATATTTAAAGGTTTTGCGCTTAGTTTTGGAGGACCTCTTCTGCATCATTGTCCTTTCATGGCAGCAAGGACCAACGGAGCAGGTCAGCAAAAGAGGAAGCCTTACTGCCTGCACTGACATTTCTTAGGCATTTCATTGTTTGAATCAAAAACTGCATCATGACAGAGGTCAGGGTAAATCCTAATTGGTGCAAGATGTTTTCTTTTGCAGTTACTATAGCATCCTTTACAACAAGGAAGCTTTCTTTCAGATGCAAACAGCATTACACTTATAGCTTTTGAACTTTTGATGCAAAGAAAAATCCACAAATGAATTCACTACACAAGCTCAACAGAGAATTTAGGTCATCAACAATTACATACCACTTTTCCTGCCCAAATGTACTATTCAAAAGCAAGATTAGAGGAGCAGAAGAGAAACTTAGGGACTTAAATGAGTAAAACTGCACCTCCCACCTCCCCCAGCTATTTGCTTTACATGAGAAGTAGCCTGTCTGCTAATGTTCTCAAACAAACTTTTTCCTTGCAGATTACAAAGGCTTCCACAGAGAGAGAACACACAGGAATTATACAGCTACATTTTCTTGAACTGTTAATACACAACAAGAAATACCTGGAATTTCTGATCAACTCCACTTGTCTTGGTGTTAATGCAAAAATGCATGGACTTTCCTGAAGCTTCTCATTATTCTGTGGAACTGAAAAGGAAAAAAAAAAAAAAAAAAAAAAAGACTGACATCAAACTGATAATATCTAGCTCTTCTTACATTGCTAAGCACAAGGTGATTTTTTTATTTTCTGAGCTACGTTTATTTTTAAGTCTTGTTTCCTGCCATACAGCTGCACAAGAACTCCAATCATCATGCATTTTGGTAAATCTACTGTTGATTACAGCTTTGCTCATTTATTGCTTGCTTGTTTTGCTAGTTAGCACACTAATAGTACACAGTGGATTTGGACCTGCTTTTTTTTTTTAATTTTTCCTCCCTTCAAATAATCAATGAGCCAGCAATTGTGGGTTCATATAAGAACAAACCATAAGTGGCATCACAGTGAAGAGACTAGAACTCAAAGAAGCGTAAGAAGAGACCTATGCATGACATGAAAGCATGAAACCACCAGACTGATCAGACTGATTCTGGAAAAGAAAGGAAACAACAACAACAAAAAGATCAGCTTAGATAATAAAAAAGCATCACAAAAAACATGAGACAAAACATGACTTACAAACACATGACCTTGAGGGTACATTTATAGGTAAGGTGTTACAGCATTCCACTTTCAGAAACACTTAACTGAGAACCCAGATTAATTGGCCTTTTATCCATTCACAATTTTAAGATCAAATGCATTTAACATGGTTAAAATGAAGCTTGAGGTGTGGAAAACTTATGTTATGACTTCCGCTTAGTACCTGTTATTAAATTCAAGCACGCTAAATTTTATTGTCAGTACACGTTGCCAACTGAAGTCGAGGGCCTGAGCTGGTGAAAGTCACAGGATAAATACAAAGAACAGGAAGTGATAAAATAGCTTGTATTTTTTCTTTTTTAGCAGGAATAGGATTTTTTCTTTGCATCACTTCAACTGCTTGTTTATTCAAAGCCAACATACCAGAATTTGAGAAATAGGAAGGTGTGCTTTACTGTCTATGAGTAAGATGAGATGAAGGAAGAGTAAAACCTCAGCACCTCTAAGATCTTGGAAGACAAGGTGACAGTCTGATTCACTGACTATGGATACTTCCCTTGGTAATTCAGCTTTAAAAATGCAAAAAGGGCTTTCAGAAATAAAAAAAATAAAAATCAAGGTATCTTTATGGACTTTTAATTTAATTCCAGTTTCCATCCAAATGTCTCTTGATCAAAACAACCATTGAGAAGTAAAGCATTTCATAAGGACTGTTATTTTTAGAAAGTGATGAATGATAAGAACAACAAAAAAATCATTTTAATATTGTTGCTTGAATAACTGTCTATAGACATGCTGTCCTCCTGATTGTTGAGCTACACAAAGACAAAGCAAACCTGATTAGGAAAACCGAGTTGTTCATGTTTTATTTTGCATTTATCAGCTTGGCCTTCTTTTACAAAAAGAGCGCCTAGATGCCGAAAGCAGGCTGCCAGCAGCACTGACTGGCGCCACTGGAGGATGCCATCAGAGACAGAAGTCAAACCCTGTGAAGTATCCAACAAATTTGCTATCACCTCTTCAGCAAAATATGCTAGCACTAAAACCACCACACTATTGAATTTCAAAACAGGTCATTTTCTCACTTCTGTGACACACCACATCATTGCTGACAACACCAGAAGTGAGTGCTGCTCCTGGGCTGAGGCTGAAAGACCACCGCTACCACGAACGGGGTACGATGGTGAGTTTGCACAGCAGCCCTAGCTGCGAAGGACCAGGTACCGATGGGCTACCCAGTTTGACTGTGCAACCGTGGGTGCAGGAAAACAAAAGATTAGTCAGGTACCTACGTTTCTCTACAGCTACTTGGTTAACAACTCTCCTCTTTTTGCGTGAAGTAAGAGAAATGAGAAGCAGCAGCACATGCTCCCCACTTTCTTTATTCCTCACTGTGAAAGACCCTTCTCCAGGCAAGAATTGAGGGGTACTTCTCAACTGTGCTCACAGAAAGCTGCTGGAGAGTCACGCAAAGCATTCCAGTTACCTGAACAAAAAACAGCTGAAGGGAGAACAAAAAAATCAAAAAGATATGGACTCAGGATGTGTCCATGCACACCTTGTCGCCAACAGCAATCAGAACTGGGTGCTTCGGAGAAAAGCGCAAGAGAACATTCCCCAAAAGACTGAAAGAAAAACCTCTCCGAGACAGACCTGTGTAAAGACCCAATACTTCAAAATCTTAATGCTGGAAAATAAGCCCAAACTCCAAGATGTACACTTTTAGGGTACCTAATCAGTTATTAATTTCTCTGCTGAGCAGCCAGGAAAAAAATTCTGTTTTTTAAAGCTAAATATTTTAATATAACCGAGTTTCATCCTTTTTCCAGGACAGATGCCTTAGCACACAACTCAGCTCCTTGACTTGTAAAACGGCTGCTGGGATCAATTTATTTTAACAGTTGACAATAGCAGGAAATCAATTTTTAAGACTGAGCTCAATCAGCAATCCTCAGAATGAGTCAAGACATAAAACTTCCAAAACCCAAAAGAACTTGGCAAACCATATTCAAGACTTTAGCCCAATGTAATTGCAATGGATTCCCATTCTGGGAAGCCAACCTCATCTGCAGCTCTCTATCTGGCAGGCTAGACCATGCCAGGCAAAATAAGGACTACACTGATTTCAGAGTTTTAGGGTTTCCCTGCACCAAGGGTTTGTTTGGGTTTTTTTGTTTTAGAGGTTTTTTTGTTTTTTTTTTTTTTTAAACCGTAACATTCCTCACTATTATACTTATTGGTCAAACCTGCTAAAGACATCAAATACCCCCAGGAAAGAGAGATCATATTGTCATCACCGTGGCTGGAGATCCCAAAGGCAGATCAGCCCGAGATGAGCTGCTGGCAGGAGGCTTCTGTACGGCTGAGGAGCCTGTTGTGAGACCTCATTCAGATCCCAGCTGCTCCAGAACAGCCCACCTCAGGGCACAATACAATATATAGGTTGGGGTTTTTTTTCCTCCTTGGCTATTGGAACTACTCTGACTAGACTGAAGGGCAGTTGTGTTCATGTGCGTCTGGGGAGATGGGGCAAGCTGACTGTAAGGCATCTTATTTTTGTAAGCGGAGGAAGCACTCATTTTAACACATACCACAGTTTGTTCAGGTGAATACAGCAACAGTGTGGGTGTGTGCTTTTGCTAGGATTCCTTGGAGATCACTCAATGCAGTGGTGTTTGCTCTTCAGTCAGGGGAAGGCAGTTGCCTTTGCCACAAAATCAGTGGCCCTGTTTACAGCAACTGAGTCCAGCTTCAGAGGAGGGGGCTGGAGCAGCAGTTTTACTACTTACACGAGAGAAGAGCAACGCCACCACTGCAAGGCAGGTATTATCAAAGGGAAAAAACCCAAACAAATCCTGTTTACATTGACAGTGGCAGGACATCCCAGCCTACATGGCCTTCTCCTCCTACTACATCACAAGATCTCCTTTGGCATGCCTCCAGGAGAAGACCAGAAGCCTCAGTATCTACAGCAAGTACAGGCTGTCACAGCTAACATTCAGAACAAAAAAAAAATATTCAGAATTCCTTACAGCACACCATTACTGTCAAAAACTATATTCACACTGTTTTACCCAAAAAGGTGCCAGAGGATAAGTACACTTATCAGCAAGGTGCTCAGACACCACAGAGCTCACATAAATACTCTGCTTGTTAGCTACTTAAAATACAATGCAGGACAGATATTAGCATTCATTCCCTCTAAAAGGTATCTGATCAATCTTAATTTTAAGCCTTATCTACCCAAGAGAATTGCGGTGATTTCAGTAAATTAGAAGAATTCTTTTATGTTGATGTCCTTAGACCAAACCAGAAAGCTGCGGCAGAAGCTGTTTTAATGTAGATAACTCAGATGCTAAATTCAATACTTAAATTGACTGAAATTGTGTGTGCAGTTACCAAATATGAGATATTAGCTGGTTTGCAATGCACCTAATTTATCTGCTTTTGGCTGAAGCCACCTCTGTCTACAAGTATAATAGTAATTTGATAGCTCTTCAGGGAATCTGCTTGCCTACAGACCAAATTAGGCATCGCCCACCTCACCTTTGATCTCAAGGCAATCATCTCAAAGAGGCAAGAGAGCCTTTTCATTAATAAAGATGCTTCCAATTGGAGTTCGGATCATATAAATTAAGCTTCCCCTACTCCCACCATGGCTATATGCTTAAAATACCTCTTTTGTAGCCTAGGGAAATGGGGTACTACAACAGCAGCTGGGTGTTTCTAAATGGATCCGAGATCTTAAATCTATTTCAGGTACTTCCACGTTACAAGTTTCTGAGGTTGACAAGGAGCTTATGCTTGGTCCAGACACAGAATGGGAAATCTGGGCAGCAAAGCATGAACTGGTACAGCTTCCATATGGAAAACCACTCCATTTTCCTCAGAGCTCTTTGTTTTATCATCCTTCCGCACTAAGCAGAGCTCCATACAAGTGTAACGTCAAAGTTATTCCAGCACCCGGCTGTTCCAGGTGGCAATGGGGAGCAGCCGATATCCATACAGTGTTGAAATAACCCCAGTTTTACAGAGAAACAAATGCTTCTTTATTCACATTGGCGGAGGCAGAAGGAATTATAGTCGCAGGTCACCAGGTTGGGAAAATTAAACAAGTGTCTAGAAGACATTGTTAGCTTCTGAACAGCTGACTGGGACAATGAAGACTGAACATCTGTTCACACCCAGCTACTCACCACCAATCCCCCACTGTTAAGGGCAAAACTCTCACCAAAAGGGAAAATTAGTTAAATATGCTTTAAGGAACAAGCTGACCCGAGGGAGGTGTCAGCTAACAGAGGTGAGATACTAAATTTAATGAGACCTCGGTTCTGATCTGATGTAGAAGATTTAATGTCAACTTTTAACAAAATCTGTTAATCACAGTAAGTATATCCAGGCTCTTCTCCTATCTCTGGACATTTCCACCTCTTGAAAATTTTTTTCCTTCAAAAGACTACATTTGCATTCCTGACCAACAAATGCCACCCCATATTTAAGACTGAACTAACGCATTCCCCAAACAGCATTTAAAAATATTTTAGCTTTACACTGGCACCCACCCCTTGACTGTTTAAATGGTCACAGCATTAACATATTTAACGCCTCCAAATGAAGATGAAAATTACATAGATATAAATTCTGATGAATTAGTCTTTTTTTTTTTGCACCTGCACAATCATATCTTCATCTGTTTTTTTTTTCCCTCCAATCCACATGCACATCAAGCATTTTTTTCAGCAAAGGCAGACCAGCTTCCCAAGTTCTAGGTTCATTTAGTAGTGAAGCCTGGTATTACCACATTGACTTTGAGACACTGCAGTTCAGCAGACTACAATGGTATTTCTCCTCTGTATATACTGTCTTTGCTACAAGAACATTATGTTTAACATCAGAGACAATACTATTTGTTTCTCAGAATTAAAATAATGAAAAAAACCCAACAGACTCCTAGGCCCAGGGTGGGAAAAAGCACTTCATCCAATTTTCCTAGTTGCCCCTCAAAATACACAGCATCACGCACAAATAAGTGTGACAAGCACAAAAGAAGAGTCAGAAATACTGTTTGATATGTGTACCACCCTCTTTCATCCATAGGAGGCTTTAGGTCAGGTATTTTAAGCACTGAAATTAACGTAGAATATGCCAGCATACTTGCTTAGCACAGGTGCAACACCAACACAGAAAGATTTTCATCAATATACTGCCAAATTATGAAGATAGAAGACAGACTATGATTCACAGCAAAAGACTGCAATGTGCAACACAGCAGCATTTCGAACGAAGGATATAAAAGCTACAGCCAAACAAGACAGGCTTTCAAATTACATCTCAAAGTGACCACATTCCTGTTCTAAGGCAATGGAAAAAACCCAGATATAAATATTCTTCCCTAAACTCTAAATATAAGGGGAGAGAAGGGCATCCACCACCACATTAATCAATCTCTCCTCTGTCACATGACATTACAGATCCTTGAAAACACTGTGACCTTTTTGACACTTAAACTTGTTCCACTTTTCTCTCCCAGATCAAGCCCATCATACAGGCACCAGCATATTGAAAACTCACCTAATTCTGTTGGCTTCAGCAGTTCATCCAGGGTTGTATAGAAGGGAAGTTTCACCAGCCGAACTTCAGGCTTTGCAACTTTGGGTGGCAACCTTCCCAGTCCGTTAAGGTATTTCCCATAGAGAGCAGGATAGTCAATATTAGTAGTGGAGATAGAAGTCCGAGCAACGGTGCTCCCGCGGTCATACGATGAATGTATGGAGAGTGCCTCGGGAGACCGGTGCTGCTGTGGCTGAGGCTGCGCGACTTCAGAGCTCTTCTTGGCATAGCGAGTCTCATAGAGCTCCTTAATTTTCTTGAAAACTTCAGGGCTGCAGTCAAATTGGACCAATTGCAATGCTCTGGTGACTAGTTCATGTTTAAGTCCGCTCTTACTCCTGCCAACAAAACCCAGCAACATCTGAAGATCTGAGACTCGGAAACTCATCACCATGTTCTAGGGGATAAAAAATTAAAAACGTTCTTACAGTTATAAAAAGGCAAAGTGTCAGTTCTCACTATACTCTATAACTGGAATCCAAAATAATAAAAACATCCCTTAGAAGACAGACACCAAACCTTCTGTTCAAATCAGCCGTTACTCACCTGATTAGCATCCCATTTCTTAGGTAGTTGTTTGAGCAACACAAATACAGAGGAGATCATCAACTGAAATATCACCAAAATCAGAGAAACAACAGGATAGTCATCAAATCACTCAAAAATCATTTGTGATAAATGCTCAGCATCCTCAAGACAGGTTGACTGGAAGCAGGAGTGACCACAAAGGAAAACGTCTCAAACAGCAGGCCCCCACACGTGAAAGAGCAAATTAACTCCTTTAGCACACAGGCTCAAATCATCCAAACTTCCCAGGCACCTTTGGGTAAGGGAGCTACATCAACAACTTCATCTAAAATGGTATTAGCATAAGGCAAAGGAAGGAAATGAAAGTCATATTGAAGGCAGACAACATTTAAGTGAACCAGGGCCACCAATTCTTTCATACTGTATTTCAGTGCACCTGTGTATTATCTGTGTGCCCAAAAAACCCCCTCCAGAATCCTTCCTACATATACAGGACCTTTAAAAAAAACCATGTGTTTTAGACTATGGCAAGGTATTAAAAGACTATTAGACAGAGAAATATGTTCCCATGAGAACAATGCCTCCAAACTCTATTTGGGTGCTTTGCCAAGCACTCCCCCATGCTCACAGCCAGTAGCTGCCTTTGCTGTTGCACTGGTATTATCAATTTCAGTGTTTTGATAAGCAGTAAAAAACTACCTCCGTCTTCAAAAATTTACTCTCTTGCTGCTGCGGAAACTCAGAAGGCCTGTAACTGTCAGCAGATTCAAAGACCATACTATACTATACTATAGAGCAACTTTCCATGAGACTAAGAACTAGAAATGATTTCTGTTAAACTAGAGCTAGAGTCTGGTCAGATCGATGTTTCAGTTCTCTCTCATAACAAAGCAGCCTTATGAGTGCACAAGACAAGCTTATCAAGTACATGCTTTTGAAAATTCAAGCTGCCCTGAAAATACATTTGATAGGTACCCACATATATTCACTCAATATCCTTCCTGGTTTGTGGAAAACACAGGAGCTCAAGAAACCCCAGCTGTCCCACAGTTTAAAAAAAAACAGAGGAAGAGATCCAGCAGGTCTCTTTTCCCCAATCTATACTCCACTCTTGTTTGAGGATTAAATTAGGAAAAAAAAAAAAAAAAAAGGCAAGGCATAAAAGTCAGATTTCTGTGGAAGTTAATAGTAGCCTTGTAATTTCCTGGAATAAAACGGCTATGGATTTATTTATTTATTTTAAATTAAGAAAGCTACTATTGACTCCAGAAACATTTAAACAGCCACTTTTGCATGTGTGGGAATTAGACTATAGAGAAAGTACCATTTATTTTCTCTTTTTTCATGAAATCTGTCATTTAATCTGGAAGCCCAAAAGATGCTACACAAACATCACTGACTGTAGTTAAAATTTTTGGCAGTCATGATGTGTCCCAAAATACCTTTGATGAGAGGAAAAAAAAGGCAGATAACTTTAAAGAGGAGAGAAAGGATGTTTAATTGCCAAAAGGTCAGGATTCAAGAGATCTGGATTCATATTGCTGCTTCACTAGATACTACCTGTGTGATCTTGAAGAAATCTAGTTTCTGCGTTTCAGTTTTCTTCAACTACAAAATGGAGAGCGTATTGTCCTCTCCAAGGCACTTTGAGGATACACAGCATACTTGCAAAGATAAACACGTCAAGGCAGTGACGCACATCAACAGCGCAGTACCAGGGAAGTCACAGCAGCACAGCAGACAGGTATTCTCCTGCACTCACTGCTCCTACACCACCGGTCACTTGGGACTGTCGGTGCATAAAGCAGAGTTTGAACTGACAGTCTTCTGCAGTTTGCATTTAGAAGGATTTAAGATCCAGAAGGATGACCAGATTTGAGCAGTAACAGAAGAACAAACTTCAGACAAAGAAAACCTGTCACTGAAGCTTGGACCTGCACGACAGTATGAGCAGTAGAGAGATCACATTAACTACTGAGATTGTTAACGCTAAGGTCTATTCCTCCCCCCAAGGAGGCCTCGCATGTGAGCGGCAAGGAGCCCATCAAACACCCACTATGGGGGCAACCACAACACCTTGGAAGCACACCTCCTCCCCAGAGTCCTGGGCTCAGCTCACAACACCGAGGGAGGCCCAACAGCAGGGAGAGGGCAATGCCTCCTAAAACAAGCCTCTTCCAAATCTTATTTTCGCAGCCATCTAGCCACATCCTCACTGATGAGCTGATCCTGCAGGCACTAAACATTTTTCATCCGATGGCATTGCTCAGTAAGCACCCTCAACACCAGCTTCCCCATGACGCTGTTGGGTAAAGCCCACTCAAGTGCCACTGGCCGGTCCTCTGCGCTGCCACGCACCAGCAGCGGGACACGGAGAAGTCCCGGCTCCCAGAGAGGTGCCGGTGAACGGGAACCCAGAGGGAAAAGGAGAAACCCACAGCAGAGCAGGGACATTTCACCCCAGAAGGCATCGATGGGGTGCACAAGACACCTTGGAAGCACAACACAACTTCAGGCACGTTTGTTGGGAAGACATTTCACCTCACCCCACCGCGGAGGAGCCTCAGAGGCCGCCCCAAGCCTCCCCGCCATGGAGAGACGGGGGCTCTGCCCCAACACCCCCCAGCGCCGGGCACTGCTCATCCCACCGCCATTCCCGCCCCCGGCCCCAGCCACGGCGAGATGGGCAAAGCCAGGCCGGGGCCGCTGCCATGTCTCCCGAGCCCTCCGCCCGCCGGGCCCGGCTGGACAGCTCCGCTCCGCGCCCCACCGGTCGCGGCCCCAAACCGGTCAGGGAGCCCAGGGCAGGCCGCGGAGAGCAAGCCGGGCACCGGGCACGACCGGCCCGGGGTTCCGCGGGGAACGGGGCGAGGAGCCCGGGGAGCAGGGGAAGGGACCCCGCCGGGCGGCGGGGGGAAAAAAAACACCTGCGCTAATTAATCACTGGGAATTAACTGCGGGGGAGGCCGGGGCCCGGCCCGGCGGCCCAAGGGGCAGGCCCAGGGGCGGGCGGCTCCCAGGGGCTAGGAGCCGGGCCGAGCCAGGCCCGGGGTCCGGCGGGGGCTACGGACGGGCCCGGAGGCCGGGGCGGGGCAGCCCCTGAGGTAAAAAAAAAAAAGGGGGGGAGGAGGGGGGGTCCCGGGGCGCCGCCCCCTCAGCTCTCACGGCCGGGGCCAGGGCCGAGGCCGTGCCGTTCGCGGTACACCCCGCTGGGAGCTCGCCCGGGCCGACCCGGGCCCCGCCGGTGGGGTGGGGGGCACAGCTCACTCACTTTCGCCTCCACCAGCTCCGCCGCCATCTTGGCCTCCAGCGTCCACCGCGCCGGGAGCCGCCGCCGAGTCACGTGACGCCCAGCTACAGCGGGGGAGGGGCCGCGAGGGCCGCGAGCTGCCCAATCCCCGCGCGCCCTCTTCTCCCCGCGGGCCGCGGCCTCGCCGCGCAGGCGCAGTAACCCCGCCCCGCCCGGCACCGCCTTCCCGGATGGCTTAAAGGGACAGCGCCCCGCCAAACGGGGGGGAGGTGGGGGGGAAAGGATGAGAACGGCGACCCTAGGGCTGTACCCCACAGGAGCGGGGGCTGGAGACACGCACCCCCCCAGCTCAGCGAGCAAGAGTTTGGGAACGAGCGGGCAGGTGCCAGCGCAGCCCCCCTCCCCAGGAGTGATAAGTGGTGCCCCCAAAATGGCGGCAGGTGGATGCCCCAGGCCAGGCCTCTCTACGCCCGGTGTCGGCCTGGTTCTGCCCCGGGGCCCGGTGGGCTTGTCCCGAGGCCCTGCTTTCTTGTACCGGTCCCAGAGCGCGGCCGCGTCCTGCTCACCCTCCCCACTGAGGAGAGCAGCGCTGGGGCCATGCTGGAGGAACCTGGCGGAGGCTGCGGGCCGCAGGGAGGAGAGGGGAGGGCTGGGGAAGCGCCCCCCCCTGCACCCCGGCTCCTGGCCGTATGCCAGGGTGCTTCGTTTCGGCCTGGGGTGTCCTTGGCATTGATGCCCCAGGGCAGTTTTGTCCTGAAACTGGGGAGCGCCGGACCCGATCACACGTGGTTTTGCTGGGAAACACTTTTGAAGAGCGGGTGGCTGTTGTAGGCTTTTCTGAAGAGAAAACGTTCTGGAGAAAAACCCAAGAAAACAGCGCTTTTGGGTCTGTGCCTTCATCAGAAACCCAAAGGACACCGGCCTAACCATCCTCCTCCTCACCCCGCAGCAGCCTCCGCTTGAACTTGAACTTGCGAATCTCAGATTTTCCTGTTGGATCTCAGACCTTGGAGCTGCCAGACCCTCCAACGTCCTCCGCTAGCGAGGGATACCGCTCCCCCACCACGCGTCTGCTTCAGGGGCCTTGAGAGCCTCCTGCCATGCCTTCCCCTTCAGACACTCTCCCTGCCAAGGCACACGTGGCACCTCATGGCCAAAACCAACCTGCTCCGTGGCAATGGCATCCCAGAGATCCCCCAGCCCTCCTGCACAGGGCAGCATTTGTGCCCCCCCATGGGCGCTTGGGGAGGAGACGTTCCCTCCAATAACTCATCACTTATTAAAAATACCTTCTACGTAGGTAGAAATTATTTCTCCTAAGCCCGATACTGTTCCCCCTGGGGTCTGCTTGCTCCATTTCTAAGCAGCAAGTGCACAGCAGCGTCCTCTCCAGCTCCAGGCTGAGTTGCCAGGAGGTAACCCCAGTAGTCGGGGTGAAACGCTGCGCTGGGAGAGGTTTTCTAGCACTTTCCCCTCCTTGTCACCAACCCCACAAGCTAATTAAACAAAAAGGCAATTAGCCAGTTTGCTAGGCAGGCCAATATGTTAATCAGGCTCCCCAGTGTTCCCTTCCAGTCTGGCAAAAGCTAGTATTGGTGCTAAAAATTCAAATGATTGCTATGGAAACCCCAACAGCTGATAACTCATCCTGTCACAGTGAGAGTGCGGGAGGCCAAATCCATCCTGGGTGTAGCTCCACCGCCATCCCGCCGGTCCCTCCCTGCCTGACACCGGTGAAGGTGGAGAGGACAGATGGGCTGGGGATGTGCCGGGGATTTGGCAGCAACCGTAGCTACCGGGCGAAGTGGCGTGGGGACAGAGTGGCTTGGGTTTGTGTGAGCTTTCTTACGCTGCAGCTGATGGAGGTGGAGCGATGGCCTCCCGCGATGCTGAAGAGAAGGAAAAAGCAGCAAAATATTTATGCCGTAGAGATGGAGAGTTACATCCCTTTTTGTCTGGAGTCCCTCTTTCCTCGCCCCCCGCATGTAACCTCCCTTTAACGCGTTCCTAACTCAGGTAATGCTCTTCACCCTGCAGATCTTCAGCTTCCCAACTCGCTGGGACAAAACGAGGGGAGTTTGGCCCTTCCTGCCTGCACCAGGTTGGAAGGAATCCTCCCCAAAACCAAACCGTGCGCGGGGTCTTCCCCGGTGCCGTGCAGCCCTTCCGAATCCTTCGGCCGGATCATCCCGGACGAGGCATCAACGCCACGGCCCAGGGAGGCCTCTGAGGCTCCCCAGAGGAACCTCGATGGCCCCTGGGGTCCCAGCCGGAGCCCGTCAGCCCTGGCGCTGCAGGATGAGGCCCCGTCCCCGGTGTAGCACCGT